AAGAGGTACGAAGGAGGCAGCAGGTCCCTCTTCTTCAGCTGTCTCAGCTGCTGGGGAAGATGGTCTCCTGCTCCATCGTCCCTTGGGCACGGCTTCACAGCCGCTGCCTCCAGTGGTTTCTTCTGCCATTCCAGAAGTCCAACAGCAGCTGTTCCTCAGTGAAGGTCCCCCTGTCCCCGGAAGTCCTGTTATCCCTGGACTGGTGGATCTCCCCAGCCATTGCTCAGGGCTCTCTTTTCAGGGACCCTCCACGTCTTGTATTAACAACAGACGCAAGCCTCACGGGCTGGGGAGCTCACTTGGAGGAACAAGTAGCGCAGGGGCTTTGGTCCAATTCAGACCTATCACACAGTATGAATTGGTTAGAGTTGAGGGCCATCTATCTAGCTCTCCTTCACTTCCAGCCCTTTCTCCAGAACTCACATGTGTTGATCCGGATGGACAACACCACGGCCAAGGCGCATGTCAACCGCCGGGGGGGGGACAAGAGCTGTCTCTCTCATGGAATCTGCCTTTCAACTAGGAACTTGGGTGGAGGCCAACCAACATCTCTGGGTCGGACAACACCGCAGCAGACTGGCTGAGCCACACAACAATCGACCCAGTAGAGTGGAGCTTGAATCGACGCATATTTCATCAGCTGTCAGCCAGGTACGGGAATCCAGCCTTGGACCTCTTCGCAACATCTGCCAACAACCAGCTGCCCAGGTACCTGTCTCGTTACACGACACCAGGCGCAGAAGGGACGGATGCTCTCAGGTGCAGGTGGCCTCGCAGTCTCCTGTATGCCTTCCCTCCCTTCCCCCTGATACAGAGGGTGATTCGGAAAATGCTGGAGGAAGAGGCCGAGCACATCCTGGTTGCCCACAATTGGCCTCGCCGACCATGGTACGCGGACCTGATCAATCTTTCAGTGGAACCTCAATGGCTCTTGCCAATGATTCCATCCCTCCTCCATCAGGGTTCCATACACCACCCAGATCTACGCTGGCTACGCCTAACCGCTTGGAGGCTGAGCGGGCAGTCCTGAGGGCAGATAACCTTTCCGAGACTGTGATCCATACCATTCAAGCCTCATGCCGCCCAGCTACCAATAGGATATACGAATCTACATGGCAGACTTTCGTCTCATGGTGCCTGGGGCGAGGGGAGGACCCATTGAAAGCTGCAGTAACCCAGCTTCTTGAATTCTTGCAGCAGGGTCTTGATAGGGGACTTTCTCTGAATACCTTGCGGAGGCAGGTGGCAGCTCTCTCCTCGGTTCTCTCTCTCCACCGAGATGAACCCCTCTCCTTGCACCCTCATGTCCGCAGGTTCTTCAAAGGGGCATCCAATATCTGTCCTCCTGTCATGCACCAATTCCCCTCCTGGGATCTGACCAAAGTCCTCGACTTCCTTACAGAACCGCCCTTTTAACCCCTCAGGGCGGCAACTCTCCACCACCTCACTCTCAAGACTGCCTTTCTGGTGGCCATAACATCAGCACGGAGGGTGTCAGAGTTGGCGGCCCTTTCCATCTGGGCCGACCTGTGTGTCTTCCACCCAGACCGTGTGGTACTTCACATCGACCCCACCTTTGTCCCGAAGGTGAATTCAGCGTTCCATCGTTCCCTGGATCTCACCCTTCCAAACTTCTGTCTGGCTCCTTCTCACAGTCTGGAGCGCAAATGGCACAAGCTAGACGTCAGGCATGCTCTTAAAACATACATCGCCAAGAAGGCAGCCTTCAGACGCAGCGAAGCCCTCTTTGTCTCTTTTCACCCGACCAACAAGGGCCTAAAAGCCTCTCCCTCCATGATCGGACGTTGGATCAGATCTGCCATTGCTCAATCTTACATCTCACATCATCTCCCTCCTCCACCCAACATTACGGCTCATTCCACACGCAGCGCAGCCACGTCAGCGGCATGGGCGCGGCAGGCCTCTGTGGAGGAAATCTGTAAGGCAGCGACCTGGGCTACCCCTAATTCCTTTATAAGACATTACAAGGTAGATCGGTATGCATTGGTGGATGCAGCTTTTGGACGGCGTGTGCTCCAGCAGGTCCTTCTGTCCTCTTGCTCCTAGGCCAGTCTCATGCCCTCCTGGGGACACGCCAGCTCTGGTAGGTCCCATGCATGACCGCTGTCTCCACCAATTTAGGAGAATGGGGCGTTGGTTCTTACCTGATACGCCCCTTCTCTGGGCAGGTGCAGACAGCGGTCATCCCCACCCTTGGGATTCTGGCCTACCTCGCAGGGGTGTTCTAGGAGCATGTTGTGTTGAATCTGGGGAGAAAGCTATTGTTCACGCACAGCAGTCTACTAATCTCCTTCATCAAGAAAAGCGGGATCATGCTCCTCAGAGGCGATGACATCACTTTGGTAGACTCAGTTCTATTGGTTACTGACTGAGTTAACCCATGCATGACTGCTGTCTCCACCTGCCCAGAGAAGGGGTGTATCAGGTAAGAACCAACGCCCCATTCTCAAAGGCAGCATAACACGGAAACACTTGACTCATTTCTTATTGGTTACCTTGAGGAGAAAGCCTTATAAGGAGATGGGGGTCTTACTTCTCCTTTTGTTATAGGTACTGAGTACGTGTCTCTAAGCGAACTTTAGCTGACCCTTGTGGTCTTGTGAGACTATTGAACTCTGTGGTTAGGCACTTGCTTCCTGTTCTTTTGCAAGCTGCAACTCTGCCTATGTGGCTTTTTAATATAGAAGTAAAGGGCCCCCGAGAGGCTGTCCAGCCTGACCCAGTAGGTTTCACACTTAATGTCCAAATCTCACTTTACATCCTACTTTACAACTCTTTTATTCTATTTTAGGTATTATTCCGAGCCACTTCCCCCCACCCTCTTGGGCTGACAAAATAAAAAACCATCTAAAGAGCGCGACAGCCAGCTGAGCCTGTCTGACGCATGCTGACAAAAGGAGGGAAAGGGGGGGGGAAAGGGCCGATGGAAACGCCCCGTTTTTCACCTCCATTCGGCTAGCTGTGCCACACTGGATCGCAATGGGGGGGGGAGGAAAAAAGCCCACTCAGTCTGTATCGTACGTACACACCAGCACGACGAAGAATCTGAAGTCGCCGGTTCGGGCGTTGGGAGCTTGAGGAGTAGATTGAGCGGCCGGACTTGCTGCTGCTCTGCTCCAAGCCCGGCTCTGGCTACAGCGTCTAATTTTCTTCTATGCTCGTGTGAGGAAGTCAGGGAGCTTAGCGGCAGCATATTGCAATTTGCATGCCTTAACAAGCCCACTGGTGGCCTCAGTGCGCCTTTCCTCCCCGTGGAAAATTTTAACCCACGCGTGTGGGAATTGGTGCCTGGAGTGTCCGCAGGCTGACTGGCTTGAAAACGCATGGCTGGGGCGGAGAAGCAGTCCTCCTTAACAAGCTCCAAAACTGCTCCAAGCCTGGGTTCCTTGTGGGCGCTGGAAGTACCGGCCTTCCCCGCCCAGTCAGCTCGCGCTCCCCTCACTCCAGGCACCGATTCCCCCAGCACCCTACACGCACGGGTTAAAATTTTCCGGGGGAGGAAAGGCGCACTGAGGCCACCAGCGGCCTTGTTAAGGCATGCAATATCCTGCCGCTAAGCTCCCTGGCTTCCTTGCACTAGCGTGGAAGAAAATTGGATGCTACAGCCAGAGCTGGGCTTGGAGCAGCGCAGCAGCAAGTCCGGCCGCTCAATCTACTCCTCAAGCTCTCAATGTTGAAAGTTCCTGGCTTTATACTCTGTTTCCTGTTCCTGTGTAAGAAATGTATTCTGATTGGTTGTCAGACTTCCATGGGGCCATGCAGGGGAAACTCTCTAAGCTGTGTTTTGAGTCCAAGTTTGGTTGAGCATTGCTTCTTCCCAGATGCCATGTGGTGAGTTTCTGAAGAAGGCTAATCCTATCTCTGTTACGTAGAGTAGACTAGCTCAAGACCCCTAATGGCCCATTAAGAAAGGTGGGGGTCTATTAAGAGTGAGCCTGTTTCCTGCCTAAAACATGTTTCTCCATTTCTTATCCAGGGAAATACAACATTCTGCCGGCTCAACAACTCCCAGGATATTCCATTCCTCCAGGAGAGGGGTGGGTGCCAACTTCCCACATCCCACCTCCCCATCATGATCCAGTGCAGTGCAGACAGCTGAATGGAGGTGGGAAACGGGGCATTTCCACCTGCCATTTTTCAGGCTGTTTTGGGGGCATATTTTGGCTGTTTCCGAGCCCGGAAAACATCAGAAAATGGCCAAACCTGCAGCCTCTTTGCTGGTGCAAGCAGCCTCCAGCTGCCGCTCTTTCCTGGTGGGAACTGAGCCAGCAGCAGCAGCTAGAGGCTGCTTGCACAAGCAAAGAGCGATTGCTGGAGGCATCTCGTGACAAGGTCAGCCCTTGCTTGTCTTCCCCTCTGCCACTAGCCACGGGAGGAAGGTAAGGTCACGAGATGAAGAAAGGCGGTCGTGGGGGAGGAAGCGGGGAGATTGAGTAAGGGCCGGGGCCTCTGAAGGAGGGGAAACAGCCGTGGTGACGCATGGTGAAGGGAGAGCGGGTGGCATACAGGAGGAGGCCCTGGGAAGGGCAGAGCTGGGGACTGGCACATCCCCCGACCCAAGGCGAAGGGAGAGCGGGTGGCATGCGGGCAGAAGGATGGCAATTGGCAAGAACCAGGCCCAAAAGGCAGCTGAGCCTCACTGTCCACCCTGAGGCGGCCCTTCGGCCAAGTGTCTTACCTTCGTAGGCAGCCACGGTGAGCAGAACAGGCACGGCACAGATGTCAGCTGGGCCGCATGGCCAGCATGGTAGGGGGTGACGAAGGCAGGCAAGCTGACTGCGCCCCATAGGACGGTGGGAGGCAGCTAGTTAGGCCGCGAACAGAAGCAACAGTGGAGGTGAGATGAAAAGTGACTGGGCGGGGCGAGTGGCATAGGGGCAGGGCCAGACAGAGGTGGTATTTGCCAGTTCTCTGAAATACTCAAAATTTCCGCTACAGGTTCGCCTGAACTGGTCTGAACCGGNGCTGAACACACATGAACTTTACCCTCCTGAGTGGGGCTGCCTTAGAAGAAACCCCTTAGAAGAAAAAAGCATTTCTACACTGAAATTCAGCACCAAATTCTTATGTGATAACATGATCCTAACATTTTTCAATAAATAACTGGATTAGGGAACTTTATAGCAGCTACTCAGAAAAACTTCAAGGGACTCAAATTCAGTCTGTTTGAAACAGCAGTTATATTATGCAGATAATACAAAGCCCCAAAGAATTAACAATTTCTGACCAAATACCAATATACATCACTTGCCAGCAAATTAATACCAGCTGACTAGTATCTGTCCCCTGGGGCTATCTTGAATCTCACCTTCCAGTCCGTATTAACTCCTATAGTTCTTTCCTTAGCAGGAAAGAATTCTGAAATCTCATCTTTACCCTTTGACACTGATGTTTAGAGAAAACCCTATGTAGCCTAGGTCAAAGGCCCCCAATGAAATGAGTGCAACAGGTGATAACATACACAAAATCACATATGCCTCCTATATATTTCTGACTTTTCCTTACCCTCTTGTGTTTCTCAATATAATCACTCTATAATGGAGTAAGAGTCCATTTTGGAGGCCAGTACTGTGCAGTTGTAATTTTGTTCAAAATGGTGTACAAAGTAGTAAAATTTACATTATTTTTTAAAAACCCATTCTTTGATCCCTTTTCTGGAATACCAGGTGCTAGAACATCCACTAGATCTGGTCTCTTTCTTCTTAACAACTGTAAATATTATTCTCCTTCACTGCCTTCCACTTGTAGTAGTAAATCCTGCAAGCTCATTCACCCCAATTCACAAACTGTTTAGGCCAAAGCAAAAGGTGAAAGGATGCCATGGTCTTGTTTTGCAGTAATTGCTTCTCCACTCTATTTTGCCCTCTCCTGGTTTACAATCTGGAAAAGAAGCCATATCTATCACATGCAGCAAAACTGAAACCGAACAGGCAACACACATTAATCTCTTCTGTTTTGATTCATAAAAGCCAAGCTAGCGGGTGGCTGATTTATTTCAGGCCTGTTCACTCTCACCTATGTGTCCTGGCTTGTTTGAAAAAGAAAAAAACATAAAACAAGATAAATGGACAGTTCCCTTTCGTGTAAATGACAAGGAGTTTTAGCTCACCGATCCAGGCCAATGAGCAGCCTGTTCTTCTCTTCTTGACTGCTCTCGTTCTTCAAGTCAGCAAAGACCTGAGTGAAATAATGTGGGTCAGCATTGACCTGCAACATTTTGGAACTCATGAAGTTGATGATGGAGAGGCAACGATCCCAAAATGCCTCTTTACAGCTCTCCACTAAGAAGGGCTTGAGAGGATAGGAAATCTCATTGCCCATATAAGAATAGGAGAGATAGAGGCAGGTAAGTAAGACAGCCTGAAGATCATGGTCCGTGGCTACTTCAGACGAAATGACATCCCGGCAAAGCATGTACAGAAAGACCACATTGGCTGGTGTGATGAAGCCTTGGTCTTGCCAGCCTTGCAGAAGGAGAGACCGATCCACACTTCTAAGCCACAAGACTGGGTCAGTGGGGGAAAGGTGCTTCAGCCTGTAGCAGCGTCTACAGAGGAATGCCCCCAAACATCGTAGTAACTCACTGGTTGAAGCTTGAACAAGAACCCTCTTGGGGGTGCCAGATGAGTTGCAGCTGGGGTGGGGGCAGTTCTTGACAGAAGAAAGGATGCCCTTGGAGCTGGAAATCTGGTGGCTTGGAACTGTAGGCTGATTGCCCTGGTTCTGAGCAAAGGTGGAGAGATTGGCACAGGAGAGAGATTTCTTGAGGTTCTCATTGTTGAGGTATGTTATGTTGTTTTCATAACTGCTATTGGGCTGCAGCTTCTTGGAGTTTTTCTTTTTGGCAGATACAGCTGCAATGCGCTTCCAAGGCAGCACTGAAATGATAGAGTGGCGCCTCAGGCTCTTATCCTTCACATTCTTACTGTTCTGGACTGCGGTGTAATGCGCCACTGTGGTCAAACCATCCTCAGAGAGGGTGGCTTTCCTATAACTGGGTGAAAGGCTTAACGCAGTGCCCATGGTGCACAGACAGCTGGGAGCAAAGCCAGGTGGACAAAGCTGGATACTGTCACCACCAGGGCAGAGGGGGTCTCTGCTTCAACCCTGCTCACTCTTTTTGTCACTGCCTTAATAGCTTGGATTCAGAAGTTACCTGCCAAAGGCAAAAACAGTGCCAATAAGCCCAGACAGGGGTCTGTTGTCTCCCAGATATACAGCCTCCTGATTTTCAATAGTACTGACCCAATATTCATTTACGAAATATTACGTTTATTACTTTTCTCCATTTTTCCCTACCAAAATTCTGCGCCTACCAGTGGTATAATTAGACATGCTAGACTCTAGATTAAATTGTCTTATGTGGGGAGGGGGGAGTGCACCTAACACCTGGCTTGGACATGTGCAAAGACTGCCCTACAAAATGGGACCTTGAATTTCAAGTCCATAGTCCTGTAGAAATGGCACCTCTGATGCCCCCTGCCCCTCCCCGGTCCTGCCTATTTCCTTTTATATAAATAGCCTAAATGCTATTCCACCATGAAAGCTGAAGGAAAAAGATGTCTTTACAGAGGAAGGCTACAGACACCCTTGCCCCAATGTTATGTTGGCAAGTGTATATGGATGTGTAAAGTCTTTGGGGGATGCTTTCTAGAGCGAGAACCATATTAGTTGGCTTCTGCAAAAAAAAAAGTGTCTCCTAACACCTTGAGGAACAACTGGTTTATCATGAAAGCCGTTGGATGCTTCTCCCATTTCTCTAAAAAGATATCTTCCCGTCCATGTGCATTCAGTTTCTACGTACAGGCATAGAGAGAGACAGAAAAGTCAGTCACCCATATTTTAAAGATGCCCACCATGCATATTTATCGCCTACCCTCTTTCCTGTCTGGCAACCACATAGCTAGAAATAATGGTACCTTTAAGAGGAGAAATATTTCTCTTCCATCGTCTTTCTTCTCTTCATCCAAGCTTTGTTTTTTTCGCGCGTGCGCCAGATGTCCTTCCTCCCGCCGCAATGCTGCTGCATTCCCCCCGCCTCCCCTTCCCCAAAGGACGCGATGGCGCCTGTTCTCCTGCTCCTCCCCACTTCGTGCCGCGCCATCTCAGTATTACCCATCGCAGGTGCGCGACCTCCCGGCACCGTGGCTTCTGTCAAAGGTCCCATAGGACCGGCTCCGCTCTGGGGGCTGCGAGGAGTCGGCAGAGGGGCAGGTGTGAGGCCCTCCGGCCTCCCCAGCACGGCTCCACCGAATCAAACGAGAAAATGCAAACAAAGATTCACCCGGAGGAAGCCTGCTTGCCTTCCCGTCCCTGCGCCCCACTGCCGCCCCCTGGACTGGCCAGCCGCTCACAAGAGCGGCGCTGGAGCTCCGACCGGCTGGTGAGCAGCATCTCCCGCCACTGCCTCAGCTGGTTTGCCAGCTAATTCACCGCGGCGCTCGCTGAGCCCACCTGGCTCCGCCTCCCGCTTCTTGTCTCGCCGTAGCCCCAGGCCGCCTGCAAAGCAGGGTGACCCCCGGCGGACACCGTCAACGATCCTGGGTTGAGCTGTCAGCCCCAGGGACACTATCGGAGCGCGCCTCTGCGCAAACGCAGAGGAAAATGCCGGATTGATGGGCTAGGCCTAGGGGCCGGCTCCTTCCTGTACTGAACAGAGCACTGCATCGCTTATTCTTTATTACACCAGGTTGAGCTGAAATACCAACTGTTGCCTTGAGTTTCGTGCATTGACTAAATTGTACTATCTTGTTTTGTTCAGTTTATAATTTGTAAGCAAAAATGGACCGAATCTGAACCCCGAAGGGCAGTTTGTTACAGGTTTTTATACTTTTATCAGGCAGGATGTTGATCATTCTCCTAAATACACATTATTCCCGTGTCACGTATGCCACATTAACCCTAGTGACAGGATATCTTGATCGCCTTATGAGGATAGAATCTTACCAATTTCCTGCCTAGACCTAGTCAGGTAGATAAGGTATTCAACGGGGCATTCTTGTCCGGCTTAAATTTACATTTTATGTTAACCCTTTACTTTATTCCCCCCATTGAAACTCTTCTGACCTTTCAAGAGGAGTTTCACAATCACCCACGCTTGTCAGTTTTTCATATTCCCACGTTGCCATTACCTGGACTACCACTTCCCTTTTTGCTAATAACGGCAGGCTGTTAGATATGGTTCGCACAAAAATGGGGAGGACACATGGAAGAATAACACAGCCAGCAGCAATTAGACCTATAAGGGCAACTATGGCTTGCAAACCGGGTAATTTAGGGAACCACCCACTAAAGATCTCTTTGAAATTAAATCCACTCCATTTCTGATCAGCATTATGGGTAAGTTGTCTCATTTCCATAGTTAATTGTTTAATAAATTTCCCTGTTTCATCATTTTTTCATTTCATTTTATTAGCATTTATAGGCCGCCCTTTTCCCTAAGGGGACTCAGGGNCACCCCAAATGGCTACGCGTGTCAGCACTGACACGCGTGTCATAGGTTCGCCATCACTGAGCTAGATACACAAGAATCACATGATAGTCCATGCTCCATATGATGTAAGTGTTCAGGATCCTTCTTCCCTATCCCCCTATATTACACGATCCATTTTTATTTTTTAAATATAATCTGATTTTATTGAACTATATGTTTAAAATATGAGATCTCCAGATGGTTAAAATAAAGATGTTGTGATTCTGAATATGTATTCTTGTTTAAGGTGTAGCATCTGAGACCACATCTATGAATCAAAGTAACAACCAGTTTTAAATTCAACTGTTTCCCCAAAACACCGTTAGTTACCACTGTGTTCCTTGTCATCATCTTCCCACCATCAGACAGCAGCTTTTAAAAAAATCCTCCAAAAATCATCTGTGTCATGGTCAGTGCATTTTATTTTTAACCAACACAGTACAAAAATAAAAAAGGGGGGGGATTAAGTTACAGGCGCACACAGCTCTTTTACAGTCTTGTCACATTTATAAACCTCACATACAAACACGCTAGAGTACACATACATACAAAAGAGCATTTATACATGAAGTAATAATAAGCAATAATACCAATTTTGGTCAACAAATATCTACAGAAAGGATTGCACAAAATCCAAACACTTTGACATACAGACACATAGAATTTAGCACATCCTGTTTTTTCTCCCACTTCCAAAATGTAATTTTGAAGAATGTTCAAGTGAAAAAAAATGGCAGACTATTTTCTGTTTTTTTCTTTAAGAAAAAATAGTTTAGAACATCAAGTGTGTAGTTGATATCAGAAAATACCTAAAGTTTTGAGAAAAAAATGCATTGATTTGAAGAAATGAGGGTGTTGGTGAAAGTCAGCAGGAGATCTGCTTGAAATTTATGCATGGTGAGTTATTGTGTTGCTGGTTTTTTTTTTGCAATCAACTGTTCTAAAATTTTACTTGTCATGTCACAAAGCTGCTTTTGGCATACATAGTATTACTGTAAAGCAATAATTGAATAGCAGAAAAGAATTGGGCTTTCTTTTTCCTCTTGCTATAAGCATAGATTTTGTTCTAAAAGGTTCATTTCATATAGCAGCTTATTACACTCTCACTCATAGCTCTTCTATATCAAGTATGTCAGCTAATCTTTTTTCCCTTATTATAAAACAGTAAATACTGTAAATACTGTTTTATCAGGTCAAGATAGTTTTGCACAGCAAGTCACATTTGCTTCCCATGCAGTGCAATCTAAAGCATGCCTACTCAGAACTACGTCTGATTCATTCAATGCAATGTATTTCTATGTAAAAATGCATAGAATTGCAGTTTTATACTTTCATACCTATATGAATAGAACTGTGTTTTTACCTGTAATGTTTTTTTTAGAGGAGAGGAAGGGCAAAAAGATTTACTATCTTTTGAACAAGGGTAATGACTTCTTCAAACATATACCAGAATTTAGTCTGAGTCACTACTGCAGGGCTGTCAAACTCACAGCCAGGATGCTGTCACGTGCTGGCGATGCCCACGCCCGGTTTAGAGAAGGGGAAAAAAGTCTCGATGTGCGAGTTTGACACCCCTGCACTACTGTAAAGTGTTCCAGAAGTCAACCACAATGCTGAAATGAGGAACTGGGGTCTCCAGGTGAGACTGAAATGATGGTATCATGTGCCACCCATTTTAGAGAAGCAAATGGTATGCAGTAGAGAACTGTATTAGAGCCCTCCCTTCCTCTCCTATGATGCTACGGCTCAGTTTTCCTTTACAAACTCAACAGAATGCTTAACAGTCAGTATCTCGCTTCTTAATGGCTCAGATTTTGGCCTAGCTTTGGAGGCAGCGGCAAGACCTGCTGAACAAATACAGCAGCTGCTTAATCATCACAACATACAGTACTGTGCAAAAGTTTTAGGCAGGTGTGAAAAAATGCTGTAAACAAAGAATGCTTTCAGANTTTTAAGCCATCTAAGCTGGTGGCCATAATCACATCTAATGGCACCAAATTATACTTTAGCTAGCCATTGTGTAAATAATCGTTTTCTGCCTTTAGTTTTGAAATGAATGTCTTACCAAGGTCCTAAACTCTTCAGCTCATTGACATCTTTACAAAGTTCCAGATTGCTTGTCTACCCCATTTATGAGAATAATTTAATAAATACTACATTAACTATTAGCACTATGAATAAGAGTAACAGTAATAATAATTGTGTGACAGTGGTGGGTTCTGGATCCAGTTCAGCGGCGTCCACATGGATGCGCGCAGTGCATGCGCACGCAACACATGCACACATGCATCTTAGCGCCTCTGCGAGCCTCCGCGATGCTCCAGCTTCTCAGCGGAGTGTTGCGCAGGTGCTTTACACGCCATGCGCGTGCACGGAAGTGCCAAGTCTTAAAAGACCAGTGGCACAAAATGTATTTAAAGGGGGTTTATGGTGAAGGAAAGGTCGAGAATCAATGGCTCATGGCATTTCCCTTTTCTTAGCTCTACAACAGTAACCTTGTAGGCAAAGGCTTCTTTCAGACTAACTTCCTTCCCCCACACATACACATTATACCTTTATAAGGAAGTAAAGCAGACATACCCCAGCTCCAGACACCTTTCCCCTTGAAATTTTAAAGCAGCTTTGTCAGTGTTTGATATTAAACACCATAGTGTGGTGGTTACTGGGTGTTTATAGATTTACAGATTCACAGATCTAATCCATGCATTGCTTTGCTGACTCTGTTATATTGCTTTACAGAGACCATGAGTAAAGAACCAATTATGTTGGTTTCCTATCATGACTGTGTTGTTCAGAGTGCCTCAGCAATGCCACAGAGTAAATGGTGTCTTTTGCAAAATTTCTGGGAAAATATAGAAGAACTAACTGAAGGACCTATTTAACCAGCATAATTAGCTGTGAGACATGGAAGCACTTGAAGACTTTGATTAAACAGGTTTGGTCCTGGTTAGCATTTAGATGCAAGGTTACATGGAAATATCAGGGTTTTAGGCTAGAGTGGGAAGTCAAACAGCATATGGGGAAAAGGCAATGACTTTTTCTGTACTGTTGCCAAAAATCTGCACAAATGTGCCCATGAAATTATAGTGTTGAGCCTAACATTAAGGAGACTACCTTATTAATTAACCTTTCAAAAAGCACCAGGACAGCCTTCCTCTTCCATCATAATTCATGGCTTGGAAGGGACTTGTTTCAAACAAATGACAGTGAAGAGTAATTACAAACGAGATGGGAAGTTGCACTTAATCAAAATTAAAAACAAACATTTTTTAGGTCCCCCTTCTGACACAAAAAAAGAGAGAAACAGTAAACTTTAGGTACAGTATACATACATACATACATACATACATACATACATACATACATACATACATACATACATACACACACACACTCTTCTCCTGGTCTGGCAGAGATCTTCACAGATGGAGAAAATGTTGGTTACAGTGCAGTTTGTTATGCTATCTAAATGTAACCATTTTAATTATGGTTAGTTTGTAACAAGCCATACTATGGACTAGGCAACAAGATTGCTGAAAGAGATGCTTCCTTAGTTTAGTTGATGACATGCTAAATCAGCCTTCCAAAATCTAGCACACTTGAAGATGAGTGAACTTCAAGGGCCATAATTTTGAAGTTTGAAAACGACTGATCAAGCATATGGTCTTCCAGATGCAGTTGGATTGCTACTCTCAGAACTCATCACTAGCGGAAACTTCTTGTGCCGATGGTAACTTTTGGTAGTTGGAATCCCAACGTATCTAGATGGCATGTCATCANTTTCACAAATGTTTGTAAAAACAGTCTGCATGCCTAGGTACTTGATTTTCTACACCTGTGGCCATGGAAGTGATTGGAACACCTGATTCTGATTATTTGGATGGGTGAGTGAATACTTTTGGCAATATAGTGTATCTGTTACTAAGGAAGATCTCAACAAATAGTTTGTGATTCTTCCAAAGAAGTTCTTCTGTTTGAGAAAGATGCTGTTAGACAATGACAGTCCCATACCTCATAGGTAATAAGAAACATTTACTGCACAATTTACATAATAAGTTAAGTATACCATACATACCATTCATACTATATGTTATCATTGTTAAAAAAATACAGTATATGCCAATTTAAGTAGAGGATAAACAAAAGACTTGGATAGGGGCAGGAGGATTACCTTTCTGTCGCTCAGTCCAGACACCTGGTCAACATATTCTTCTTGGATCATAAAGGCAGCCAAATTGGCAGTGTAACTGGCCAAAAAGATGACAGCAAAGAAGGCCCATACTGATACCATGATCTTGCTGGTAGTCCCTTTGGGATTCTGCACTGGCACAGAGTTGTTGAATACAAGGCCCCACAGTAGCCAGATAGCTTTACCAATAGTGAAAGATGGACCACCAGGCTCTGAAACGACCAAAATATAGTAGAAAGAGTGAGAACTAGCACAGCAAATTATTCTAAATGATGAATGAAATGAAATTCTGGCTTTATCCAGGACCAGATGTTATGCTGTTGGCGAAGACTGTGATAAGACTGTGATAAAAGTCCTTAGTTTAAATGATGCTACATTAGTTTGCAGCATAATTTATGTACTAACAGGTTAGCTCCATGGTCCCACACAAACCTATTCTTGAATGGGGCCACAGAAATGCAATTTCAGGATTAAATATGATTGAAATTGAAACCAGCAGTTTGCTCTAGTGATACTCACTAGGCAATAATTCATAAAAGGCAGACCTTCATAAGTCATTCCATGGGCATGTTTAGGAGTTTGTGAGCAATCCTTGGTGCTCTCTGAACTTGGTTGTTTTCTTGCAAATGTTCATTACCCAAACTATGTAACAACATTGATGATGTTACCTATTTTGGGTAACGAAATGTTTGCAAAACAAAAAACAAAAAAACCCTAAGCTCAGAGGGCATCAAGGACCGCTCATTTCAACCCCGAGTTACAAATATTCTCCTTTAAGAGTCTGTGTATTGTAACATCTACATGAATGAATACATTGCATAAAGCAGGTGGATATATTCTTTTTCACAACTCTTCTCCATCAATTGTTGTCATCAAGCTTTTGTAACCTGGTGCCTAGAAATATGCTGGATCTAAAATTCTCACAACCAACATGACTAATGGTCAAATTAAGTAGAAATCTGGCTGTTGGAGGCTTGATATATCTGAGTGTATCAGATGGCAAGGCTGAACTAACATATTTTCTCACTTATTAAGAGACATCTTTCATACATTATTCACATTTATAAATAAAGAAAACGCATTTTGCATACACAAGATATTGTATTTGGAAATGTGACAATCCTAAAATGGAATAGTTGCCTTGAGAAAAGTTGGATAGGTCATTCAAAAGAAATTAGTAAATAGAAACATGAGTTTGGAGTTAAGACAGTTCAATACACTTGGAATTTGGACTGAGAGGCTTATTGGATAACCCAGCCACTGGCATCCTAATCATCGAACTCTGGACTGTTGGTAAGATAGATGTTATTTATTATGAATATACCAAAGAAGGATACAAAGAACAAAGAACAGAACAAAAAATATCACTTTGTTTGCTTTGTATTCATAGGTATTATTATACACCCTGAAAAACTACTAACTGCAAGCCATTCCAGCAACAATTGTTAGGCAGGTATTTACAGTATGTGCAAGTGCACATGTGTAAATATGCTATGCTACTCTTAGCCCTTTTCATTGTAACACAGAGACAGATATGTTTTTCATAGTATTTTTCTGAGATATTTAGAAACACTCCCATGAGGAAATATGATTTCAAAATGATACCGATTCTGTAATGACTGTGGGATTCACATACACATGGAATAAATGTACACACATGGAAAAATATATCCTTTTTTTAAAAAAAAACATCTACAATGTCATTAAGATTTGTGTCAGCATTATCCTTTCAATGAACTACAAAATAAAAACAATGTTTTTGTGGAAACAATGTCGTCAATTTGAAACATATAAATTATTACTGGGATTACATTTATATGAAGGGTTTTGTGATGGGGGGAAGTGCTGGAATGTTCTCTTTGTAACTAGGCAACAAAATTCCACTTTTCTTTGTTCTGTTGCCGTCAACTGTAGGTTCTGTCAAGGCAGTTGGTGGTCTTTTTGCTTGCTGCTTGCCTACCAGTAAGCTATTTGACTTGAATCTTCTTATATATTCTTGTATCACTTCATATAATGATTTTTTTTACCAACTCCACATGGTTTTATACTTATTCAAGGGTGTCAAGGAACGGTTGTGCAAGAAAGATTTTCTTCAGTCACAGTTTTCCTCTTCCTGCATTTGTACAGAACTTAGTTGAACCAATTCCCTAGTGTCTATTAATACATGCAGCAACTTGGACTGACTTTCAATAAGAATTGAATGAATGTATCTAATGACAAATCTGGCATCTCTATATGCAATTCAGATGAGATGTTATTATGAGAAACATTCATTTTGCATTTCATGGGTTTTTGAAAATTCAACAGTGAGGTTTTTCATCAACATTTTTTTTGCATACAAATTAATTTATAGCTGCTTGTAATTTGCATTTTTAAAATCTGAATATGCAAGTGCGGGCCATTTAAAAGAAAGAAATACTGCAAATGAAATACTTCATACTTGTTTATTACATTGAAACACTACTGAAAATTATGCATTACTTCAGAGTTATGTAGTATAGAATTCCCATGTGCTCTCGGCATTTTTAAAAAATAAAAGCCTGTGGATTGGGATGATAGAAGCACGACTAGGATTCTGAATGCATATTTACCTTTAAAAACAAAAGATCACACCATGGTCTACCTTGTTGCTAAATCTTCATACACCATTATCAGATGCTGATAATAAGTGTTTCATGACCAATTACCAGCTATGGATTGCTTGTTTTTATGGGTTTCCCACACCTTCATTTGTTAGCTTATTGTGTTCCACCTCTACCTTACCATGCAAAATTTTTAATATGGACAAAAAGTTAAATTTAAGATTTAGAATACATTTTCTCACAACATAGCATATTTATGCAACTACCTTCCTTCAAAAATAAATATTTATAAACATTTTATCACAAAAAAAAGGTAGCACCAGGTTTTTGACACGCTTATTTGTTTTGCCATAACTGCAGTGCAACATTCACAGAAATTCAAAATGTAAAGGATGACATTATTTCAGTGAGCACATTATGTAATGAGCGCAATCCAAATATGTTTTTTTGGAATGCACAGAGAGTAGATTCCTGAAAAATTATACTATATAGGATTACAAGGGAGTGGACAGATGTTTCACAGAATCTTCAACCATATTATTTTGAAATAAACCACTAAACCATTGGTGGAGCAAAAAGTCTGTAGAGGTTCTCAGTCATCCAGGTCATGGTTGAACCAAAAATGCTTTTTCAAGAGGCAACTGGACTTTCTTGTTTTCCATTCTTCCATTCCCCACTATCCTGTCAGAGCTGAAGAAGCTTCTTCAATGAGAAGTGAAACGTCTTCAAAAGAAAAAACAAAGTCCAGTTGCCTCTTGAAAAATCACCTTTGTGACCTTGCTGCAGCAATTAATTCTGAGGAAATTGTAGGAACATTTACCTAATTACAAGCTAAAAATAAATGGAAATTAGTAATTATATTAAGAATGGATTATTTATAATATTATATCATCATCATCATCATCATCATCATCATCATCTTAGCCATTGTCTTTCCACTGCAGGATGGAGACCTCTTCCGCATATTTCCAATACGGTCCTGAGCTTTCTTTTACCAATTGGCCCTGCAATGTCATCGATCCATCTTATTTCAGGTCACTTTCGTGGATGCTTTTTATCAAATGGGGGTCCATTCTAAGACTTGGTCTATCCGTCATCAGTTGTTCTCGCTATGTGACCAGTCCATTTCCTTTTCAATGGAACAAACAAACGTTTGTTCTTTGATCTATATGCAGATCCTTCTGTCTTGTCTTGTAATGCGGAACATGTATCTTTCCATGTGCCTTTCATAGCTTTTGTATCGATTGTGAGGTTAGTGTCCATGTTTCATTGGCATATGTTAGAGCAAGTAACGCACACTGATCACAAGCTTTTCTCTTCAGGCATAGGGGGAGGTTATTGCTGAAAATTATCCTTAGCTTGCTGAATGCCTGCCAACCACATTTAACCCGGCATTCAATTTCCTTTATTGTATCATCTTCCATTGAGATCTGTTGGCCAAGGTATATGTAGTGGTCTACTATGTCTAGTTCTTCTCCAGATATAAATTATTTTCTTTCTTTACTGAATTTGTTAAACATAACCTGGTTCTTTTTCAGGTTTATTTTTAAGCCAAATGGTTCTCCTTCTTCATGCAGCTCTTATATGTCTTTGTAGCTCTTGTGAGAAGAGAATAACTTCATCTGCAAAACTTAAGTGATTTAAATAAGTGCCATTGATTTTTGTTCCATCTATTGCCCAGTCTAGTGTGCATACTTCTTCAGGGCAGGCTGAGAAAAGGGTAGGTGATATGGTATCACCTTGTCATACACCTTGTTCTATGTTGATTTCTACTTTAAAATCATTACTGCAAATCGTCACCATTGTTTTTTTAATATTGATTGTAGTAAGTTTATGTAAGCAGTGTCTACACCTTGGTTGAGCAATGCATTAATTATTGCTTGCTGGAATACTGAGTCAAATGCCTTTTTGTAGTCAATGAAAGCTATGCATAGAGGCATAGTGTACTTGCTGTGCCTTTCAATGCCTTGCTGAACAACCTGGACGTGATCCATTGGGCTGTAGCTACAATATTTTATAAATACTTATATAACACAAGAATAATCTTAAACACATTGTTTTCTATCAAGAAATATACAGAATCATATTACCATATCCACCATTATCACAAAGGTCTTATTCAAAGCATTTTTCTCACAACAATAATTACATTACCAATTCCTTTATAGGGAGGGCATCATTTAGCCAAAATGTGTGTTGTCATTGTTACTTATTCATTCTGCTGTCTATCTTCCACAAAATTTATTCCTTGTGTATACATACCGGTCAGTGGTGGGTTTCAGAAATTTTTAGAACCTCTTCTGTAGGTGTGGCCTGCTTTGTGGGAGTGGGTTGCCAGCCATGTGACCGGGTGGGAGTGGCTTGGCAGCCATGTGACTGGGTAGGAGTGGCCAACATGTAAAATGTGGTGAAACTTACTTAACAACGCTCTTGTTTAGCAACCAAAATGTTGGCTCAGAAACTGTGGCATTTGAAGCACGCAAGTATTAAAGCTATCAAGTTACGAGACCCTTGCACCCCTAACCCTTTAGAAAGAAAACCTCAGGGGTGTTCAAACTTGACAGCTTTAAGACTTGTGGACTTCAACTCCCAGAATTCCTCCTCTCACTCTTCATCTTGATGATGTGTGGATAGGCGAGGGGGGGGGAGCTGGAACCGGTTCTAAACAGCACTGTAGATTTGTGGAACCTCTTCTATAGAAGAGGTTAGAACTGGCAGGAACCCACCTCTGATACCGGTACTGTGTACATTAATGTGTATAGCTCTACATACATCCTTTTAGATATGTATACTGGTCACACACACACACAATCCACAACACCTCTAACGTTGTTTTATTTTAGGCTAAAATTCTATTACAACTGTCTTTTTTTCCAAGATGTAGAAAGGTGGTGACATAAATCTGCTTATGGCAAACTCAACAAGCACCTGAAAAGATGTTCCAGAAACATTCCTTTCTAAATAGGTTAGCACTATTGTCCTAGAGATAAAACAGAACATACTAAGGAGGGGACCATTTAACAGTTTAGCGAAGCCACGGCAGCACCCAGTTCTCTTTCTGTTTTAGTTCTCTAATCATAGATCAATTTGTCAGTCTTGCTCCCTTCATTTTTACTTCTCCCCTTCCCCACTATTACAGAGTTTCTGTAATTTATGGTTTTTCATCTTTTGAATTTATTTCATTCCATTTTTCCATCAATTTGAAAATACGTGGAAAGATTAGCAGAAGCAAGGCAGGGAAACTAATAAAAGCTTTCAAATATCCATCAAGTAATTAGGGAAACAAATAATATGCCTAACAAAACAGGAAAGTATTATATACTTGTTAGTATCTCCAACTAAATTAATATTTCAATTTGACAATAATAACTATACTTTAGAAACATTGCAAAACATACGCAAAGAATTTGGCTTCTAGTTTCTAATCTTGCTAGAAACATTTCAGTATCTTGTGTTGCAGAGCTGCTTTATCATCCAAAGAGATCCATTCAGTTTTGCTGCTACTATTCTTTTTTTCCCCTTTAGGCATGAGGAAAAAGGTGTGTACATGGCTGATTCCTGGAGAATATTTATTTATGCGGTCACTAAGAGTTGACACCAACCATGGTTGACATGCATATCAATGGAGAAGATGTATCTTTCTGTCCAATATGGATTATAAAGATTGCATGATAAAAGATGTGTCTCCTTACCTCTGCCATCAGCCAGACACCGATTGTATCCCACAGGGCTGAAGTACTCAAAGACAAAGACAGCCACCGCAGAGATTATAAGCAGCATTACAAACATCATCACCCACACATCAGCACTGAATGGCTCTGGACAGAAAAGGACAGGTAATTATTTCACAGGAACCTTTCCAGAATACTCCAGAGTGCAAATCACTAAACATCTAATTATAGCTTCTGAAATAGCTTGACTAAACTTATAGATGGATCTTATGTATCATTTAAAATGTTGTGAACCAAACCTCAATGTGGAGTTGTTTTCTTATATTTCTGTTACATTATGTGACAGTGGCGAATATCTGTAGCTCAGGTGTAGGATGAGGGTGGAGATTCATTCTCTGAGCTTGTGGGTTGGTTTCCGAACATTTTGTTGCCAGGCTAGCCAACATCTTCAATGGAGTTCAGTGCTCAAGGACAGTGATGACAAACCTTTTCGGCACTGAGTGCCCAAACTGGAACATGTGTACATGCATGCCAGACCCCCAGAAACTCAAAGACCAGCTGGCCAGTGCACATGTGCTCACCAGCCATCTGGTCTTCTGGTTTCCGGTGTGTACATGCGAGCAGGCCAGCTGGTCTTCGCACGTGCCAGATCAGCTGATCTTCAGGTTTCTGGGGCTCCAGCACACACAAAGATCAGCTGGCTGGCATGCATGTGCGCACCGGAAACTAGAAGATCAGCTGGCAATGGTGTACATGCCCATAGGAGAGCTCTGCATGCCACCTCTGGCATGCATGCCATAGGTTCATCATCATGGCCCTAGGATGTTACCTAGCCTGGTAACAAAACATTCAGAAACAAACTCACAAACTCAGAGAACGAACCTCCACTCTCATCTGTTACATTATTCTAGAACTCCTAGTTATGGGAAAGAGGGAGCAATCATTAATGGCACCATTAAGCCCCATTAAGCTATATTTTAGCAGATATATATTTAGCATCATCTGTATGTTTTCAAGTATTTCTTCCCCATAAGAATTTGAAGTTGGCTTTTATAAAAATGAATGCTGAAATGTATAGGAAGCTAAAGTATCCACTCAGTATTACATTCTGCCATCTGACTTTCCCAAATTGCAGCATTCTCGGCATCCTGCCTGAACATTGCATTAAGCACAAAGACCTACTCAATCACAGGGTTGTTGGGTTTTGTTTTGTTTTTTTCAAATCTCCAATTTTGTGTCTTTAACAAAATTAAATGCAAAAGTAGACAAAGAATCCAAAGAAACCTAAGTACAAGTAAAAGTTTGTGGAACATAGAGGAATATATCTTATTGAGAATCTTAGCAGTTTTCAATGTCATTAATCACACTAGCATTCCGAATTTGCCATTCTGGCTGGGTCTAGGAACATATATGTGATTCTACTCCTACATACCAAAAAGGTTTTCTTTCCTGCTTGCTTTTGGTTTATAGATTTGGAGTAAGTCACTGGATTTCTCTCAATAAATATATTGATATATAATTATGTTTCCCTTCCTATCTAATCCCTAGAAGGCATCAGAACTTTTAAATCAATATTTGGGAAATTGGGATAGGTGAAATGTTAAAACACTGAAACTTTTATCAAGATAAAACTGAAATATTGATCAATAGAAAAGCCTACCAATGATTAATGATGTGACGTATTTTGAAACAAATCATTCTGTTTCCAAAGAATAAGCTTCAGAGTATCAGGATGTTTTTGGATTTGGACTTAATTCTAGGTGGTCCAGTAGAAAGCAATAAATGGGAGCATCTTTGATTAGATTTAGTTAGTGAAGCAAATGCACCATTTTAATAGCAAAAACATAAAGGTCTATTGTCTATTATGTAAGATATATGACAATAGATTATTAATAATATGTATATATCAATGTGTGTGTGTGCATGAATATATATCAAAAGGTAGTTGTAGATAGTAGATGATAGATAGATAGATGGATGGATGGATGGATGGTAGATAGATAGATAGATAGATAGATAGATAGATAGATGTAAGAGAGAGACAGAGAGACAGAGGCAGAGACAGATATAGATATAATTTGATATCTCTGCCCTTTTTTGCAAAAGATTGAAAATATAAGGAACCTGGTCTTAATACAGCCTCAAATCTTACCTTTTTTATTTAAAAAAATTCTAAATATCTATGACTAGAAAATTCTGTCTCATCTATAAAATGTCAAGTGTGACTTCTGGCAATCAAAGAATGGCCCATCTCTGCTCTATTTGAATGTGTTCTTCTGGGCTGCTTTTGAAAGAGTACTTGGAATGCTGTTGTCACTGCTAACAGGCCTCTTATGTATATAGAAATTGTGGTTTCATGGCCGTTCATGATATATCTAGAGTTTTTCCAAATTAAGTTCAAAGTACTGGTTATAATATTTAAGTTCTGGATATTTTAAGGTTTATTAAAGGTTTATTAAAATTTGTATGCCGCCCACTCCCATCGGGACTCTGGGCGGCTTTTTGAGGACTGAATACCATATTCTATTGTTTATGTGCTGAAACTTGCAGAGTGAATTCTACTTTAATTTCCACCATTATCTAATGTATAGTGACAACTGCTTAGGACAAGGCTTTCAATTTGGTTGTATCATTCTGGAGTTCCTATCAGGGGGATAGCTTAGGGTTTTTCCATACATAATTCCAGAGTCTAATAAAGATTGACATAATTAATAGACCCTTTATAATGCTATAATATGCAACATTTGTAGGGATTATCTAAATTATTCTGATGATATATTAACTCTTATTTATTTAAGAGACTTGCATGTTGCTGAATTCCCAAAGACATTTGGGAAACTTTTTTTTAAAAAAATATTACTATATCATTGTGTTTTGCTCTGAGGGCTTTGCCAAAATAGGTTTTATAAATCCCCAAAATAGACTGCTATATTCCAGAAATAAACTCCTGCATTTCTTTACATACAAGACAAAGTAATATTTTTGCATGGCATATTTCTGGGGCTAGCATCAGAACAGTTAGAAATCTTACTGTAACAAGCATTACCAGGCTTACAAAAGTACAGGTAAAAGAGAAACTGGAAACAATTATTTGAATATAGTTATGCAATGATATTCACTAGAAATATCTAGTTTGAGAATCTGGTGCTTGTATTTCTAAGCTAATTTCTTATTCTCTTATCAAGTGTTGATTCCTGAATTTAGCTCAAGCTAAAACAGTGGTTCTCAACCTTCCCAATGCCCTTTAATACAGTTCCTCATGTTGTGGTGAGCCCCAACCATAAAATTGGTGTCTTGGTTCCTAAGACCATCGGAAATATGTGTTTTCCAATGGTCTTAGGTGACCCCTGTGAAAGGGTTGTTCGACCCCCAAAGGGGTCCGACCCACAGGTTGAGAACCACTGAGCTAGAACTTCAACAAATCCAAGTCTGCATACAAATGTATGCTTGTTTATTTAATCAGAAAAAGAGCTGCCAACATGTTTTTTGGCAACAAGTTGCCTCCAAAAAATGCTTTACCTAAAAAGGCAGAAGGTGAGACAGTCCCATTGCTTCGTGACACCATTACACTGATTCCTGTCTCAATGAAGGGAACAGAAAAGTCAACCACTTCTGAACGCTCTGCATTTATGGTGAGGGATCCCACAGCCATATAGGCACGTTTGGCAACCACCTAGGATGAGGGGAAAGAACAAAGATCATTTTTGACATGCTGGCTGCATCTTTTCTGTTCTTCATCACTTCTCTGTTTCCCATAACAGTAGAATAAGGGACTGAACATTCTTTAAGAATAATGGAAAGTTTAAAAACGTATAATACCAATATTCATGACGGTAAGTTGAATGTGTAAGCACATATGAAACACAATGGATAGACACATATTAATCACTATCTATATAACTGTCCTAGATAAATATAAAGTAAGCAATAAAATTAGTTTCCAATTTAAACCCTGATTTTAATGACAGGAGAGAGAATGCAAGGAAAAAAGTAACAATATATTCCGAGGAATAAAATTAAAAGAAATCAAATGAGAAATATCTAATCATATCAGAGTTAATCAGTGTAATATAGCAGCTAATAGGACCTGGGAAATCAAAATCCAGGTCCACTTCAGCCTTGGAAGCTCACTTAATCAGGCACTTTCTCTCCACTCAACCGTACACACAACAGAGGAACAACTTGGAGGATGGAGTGTTGCATATGCTACCTTGAGGACTTGAGGGAAGGGGGTGGGGTATATAAATTCAACAAAAAAATGGAACCAAAGAAAAGTATGTGGTTCAAGAATTAATGTACATATTGGAACATTCTTTCTTTTATTTGCAGTTTTCCTTTTTTTAACTTTTTACAGTTGTGTAAAGCAGGGATGGAAATCTGCAGACTTCCAGATTTTGTTGTCAGCAGACCGAGCTAAGTATGGGCTAAATTGCAGTTCAGTGATATGTATGTGTGCGCACACTCAGTTTTGTAAAAAGAGATAAAACTGTCTTGGCTTACCTCACCAATCATTCCATTCCATGTTCCATTGACCTTCTTTCCATGTTTACCATTGGTTACCAAATAAAGATCATAGGTGAATTTCACAAACTTGGAAATTTTTTTAAGAATATCAATACAAAACCCTTTGCAACATTTCTTGATATAGGCAGTCTCTTCATCTGTTTTATTTCTAGACAAAGACAACAAGATTTATTTTACTGATTAAAAATATGCTATATCTGTAAACAAAAAGACATTGGTCCATGTTTGGCATCATGTTGTATTTAAACTTTTTAAAAAACGTTATTTTGATGAACACCACATCATTTTTAAAAGAATTTCCACTCTTGATTCTAAACTGAAATCTAAATCTAGCTTTCAGAGATAGCAGAAACTGAACAACTTTAGTAGAAATATTGAAAAAACAAATATGATTTTTCTTTAAGCAAAAGCAAGAAAATTCTTGCCAAAATGTGATTGAGAATTGAATATTTAGTTTATTTAAAGAACTATCTTGGAATTTACACATGAACATGTATAGTAAGCAAACGCAGAACTTTTAAGAGATAAGAGCTTGGGTAGGATTCCCTCCTTTCCTTTATATGCTAGGTCTGGCTTCAATTTTCCCCTGATTTCCCAATGTTGGTAGATCAGCTTTGGAGGAGAAGAGATAAGGGAAGAAAACTATGTAAGAGAAAAAAAAAATCAAAGGGTTCTATGAATTCACAGATGGCCATCAAAGAAATTCTAATGGAGTTTCTTTCTGGGAACAATAAAGAATGATCTCTTTCTTACTGGTACTGTCAGTAACCACTTCTTCTTTACTGGGATCCATATAAATTACAAATATAAGTGAGTAACAAGTTACCTGATGGGAACTAATGATCAGAGTGAAGGTACGCTTGTTCTTCTAAAAGCTACATATTATTGGATTGAAAATCAAGTGTCTAATATTTAATAAAAATGGAAGGGTGCACTAAAACAACTTGAAATATATCATGAGGCCATAGTAGAACTGTAGACAGTGCACATTGAGTGAAAGCTGATGCCTCTGAATACAGGATCCTGATAGCATAGCATAGCATAGCATAACAGGATCACAATCATAGCCTATTTGAAAAACTATTGCATCAATAATGATAATTCCTGCCTTGATCTATCATAGAAATAGATGTGGATTCTACAGAACAAAAACATTTAAGTTAAAATGCAATGGAGGGGATTGTCTGAGATGGACGCTCACATTACGTTCTTGGCCCAGGGTCAGAGCCCCTTTATCTAACCATTGCCTTTTGTAGTGTTTGTTTCTTCCTCCTGCCTTCAAAGACATTCCCTCTTTCCTCTACATTTATCAACATCAGGGTGGAGGACCGATCAAAAGGAGACAAAAATGAGAGGGAATCAGTTATCAAACCTGATAATCCCACCTTAAGCATCATCTAGCTATGTTAGCAGTAAAAATAACACAAGTGCCAGATAAGTAAATAGAAATAAAATAATATAAAATATATAAAAATAATAATAAAATGAAATAAAATAAAAGAATAGAATAGAATAGAATACTGCATACAGGGTTGACTCAGGAAACACTTTGGATATTTTGGAAATGTTATCACTATGATGACCAAAAGAGAGCTGAGCAATAAGTGGAAGCCAAAGGCAGAGCTCTATAAGGAAAAAGGTTGGTTCCTTTCCAGACTCTTGAAAAATAAGCCACACACAAACAAAATAAATTAATTAAAACACAGCCTTAGAAAATTCCACATAAAATACCATGCAAAAATATTGGTGTAATGAAATTAGATTGATTCTGACACTCAGAACTAAGTAAAACTTCACTTTTTAATTCCCTGTTTTTCTATAGCTGATTTTGCATTCCTTGATATAATACCGTACCATTTGAGTTAAGGCTGGCTCTGACCCTGCTGGATTTTCAGAAAACCCTTAAGACCTGGCTATTTTCCCAGGCATGGGGGCTTGGAGAGCAGGAGAGCCTAAGAAAAGTGGTTTTATTATTTTCCTTGCTTGCCATTTTATGCCCCATTGTGTTTGTTCTAATTCTTTTTATGTTATTTTTGCAGGTAAACATTGTTAACCACCAGGAATCATGTTTGCAAGATAAAGAGCCATATAAATCTATTATAAATAAATAAATAAAATACCCACCACTGAAAAGCCCACTTGATGCAGATAATGCTCCAGAATGGAGTGAGATAAAATGAATTAAACATGACTCCTCTGTAGCTGTATTGCCATTGTTGCAGGAAGAAACATGCTGAAAAGAACGAATTACAAAAGGTTTTGTTGGTACCTACTCTGATACAATTCGTTTTTGGCATGGAACCGTGTTCCTCATGCAGGTGCCACTTAATGGGTCCACATTTTCCACAATAACAAAAGGTGCTTCTTCAAGGGTCACTATGCTAAGATGGTCATCCTCACGTTCCTCACAGTTTGGATATAGCTCAGAACGTGGCCACACGTAATACTTCATCTTGAGACGTTTGTCCTTCCACCATCCCACCTGAAATGATACGCAAGGAAAGAAAGATATCATTGCTAAAATCATGCTTCAAATTTTAGTTCAGAAGGAACAGCTGAATACATACCTACAGAATGCAGAAAAATGATGTCTAAACCAAGAATTCATCAGGTCTATTTATAGATTTCATGTGCTTGTTAGTATTATTTATATTCTTGTTTTCTGTCAGTTACGCTCAAGACAACTAATTATATTCCAGTCAAAACCAGATAATCAAAACCAATAATCTAATATATCTTTATTACTTTGAACCTATCCTCTGAACCAAGGAAAGGAGTTAGAGTCAGATCCTAACAAAAAGCAATACTTTAAAATAAAACTTCATCTGAAATAGTTCTGGCTGTTTTTCAAAAGCAATAGAGCTAAATGGAACCTCTCTCTCAGAAAAAAACAATTGACCATTGATAAAAAAGACCCTCTTTTACTCCTCGTACATCTAATATCAGGAGAATTTAAAATAAGGCCCGAAGCAGATCTCAATAACAGGTTCAGGTGATTTTTTTTTCAGATGAGCTGAAGTACCAGGGGCTTTAGAAATCAGAAAGCATCAAGGCAATTGTACTAAAATACTATAAAAGATGCAAGCTCCCATTTGAGGGCTTGGCTTTGACAAGCCAGGTTTAAAGTCTCTCCCTTACATAAGTCTTCATGTAATTTAGCATGGAAGTAAGTAGGTTGGATAGACAGATGAGATCAACTTCAATTTTTCCAGGGAAGTGTATAGTTAATAGGCCATCAGCTAAAATGCCTGCAGCCATCACTCTTTTTAACCTCTACCATTCCAGGTGCTTGCATGAAGCTGCAAACCTGATTTTTGCATAAATTTGAGCTTGTGAAAATAACTATGTGTGAGTTAGGTTGACAAGCAAACAAACAAATGAAAAGTTGCATACCTATTCTTATATGAAATGCTAGAAAAGCAAGAAAAATTAGTGGACAAATTTCATATTAAGAAATGAAAACTTTTCCACATAAAATCTCATTTCTAGGTTGAATGTATTGAGTATTTGCATTTCTTAACCATTAATTTGTTTTTTTATCATCTCAAATGTAAAGCAAGTGGTTAATTTTCTGAAGCATATGGTAACATTTTAAATCAGAGCTGTCAAACTCACGTCCCGCGGGCCAGATGCATCATGCGCTGCCCACACCAGGTTTAGTGAAGGGGGGGAAATCCCGATATGTCATGTGATGCCACCGTGACAATGCAAGTTTGACACCCCAGTTTTAAAAGATGCTCAGATGAGGTAGTAGTAAAGTATGAAATACTACAGTTCCTGAGTTACTACAATTACTAAATATTTTTCTATAAGCATATCTATTAAACAGGATCCTTTAAAAAAGTAGTTTCTTTCTGTGTGACTGAATTAAAACTGATGATCCCCAACATGCAATATTTCTTTAAGATATGCCCAAATATCATGTATAGCATTTTTCACACATAAAAACTATTGCACTTGTATCTGTATTCACTATCTTCTTTAACACTAATTATAATCTTGGTTAGCAAATATCATCCAAGAAGCCATAGGCTCAATGAATCTAAAATAAACTCTTGTTTGTGGTAGATGCATTTCTCTACCTCTCCCACAGTGCTTCAGTTGCGGCAAACTGACAGCAAGGGTGATATGGGTGGAAGACTGCCATCAACTCCAGTTGTTTCTTCTGTATCTGCTCTATGAGCTTCAGTTCCCTGTGGCTGTCAATTCACTCTTTTCTGCTACATCTGTTGTTTCAGAATCACTAAACAAAAACACCTTTTTTAGTTGCAAGAGGTTACTTTTGTATAGTCAAGAATTTTCTGGTGTTTTAATAATAGCATCCAATGCTATCATTAAACATTTATTGCTTCTTTAAAGCCTTGATTTTATTTTTTTAAAGACAAAATCCAATGTGAACTATGTGAATACCTCATTTCAAGAAATAGAAAGTCATTTATATGCATCGGTGACATTCTTACAAGGTCCCAAAGGATATTGATTCTGTGACAATAGAAGACTTAAGCGCTGAAAGGCATTAGGTCAACTCTTCAGTTATTTCAGGAAGTGGCATGAAGTGGTATGAACGGTCTTTACTTTCTCTTAAGAAGCGACTACTATCATTCTCAGAAAAATTTGTTTCTTAATGCTATTTCATCCCACTTAACATCTCATTTATTTACAACGTTAAACGGGTATGTAATGCATATGTTTATGTATGTCTATGCACATATACTTTCCTTGCCCGAATTTTTCAGTTCTGTACAAAAGAAGAGGAGATGGGAATTATCGCCATTATCCTTTGAAATTTCTGCCTTAAAGATGAAATCAGCCACAATTATTTGTCCTGTCAATTTCTGCAATGTACCTCATACATTTTAGGATCCAAAATATCAAGAAGAACTATGATGTAATATCAGTTGGCATTATTAAGATCATCTCCTAATTTCAGGGACTTAAACAGAATTCATCTCTCTGCAGAGCTGGCTTTTGTGATTGTGTTCTGAGATAATTATAGAAGTACATGGTTCTATTTAACTGATTTTATTAAAGGTTGATAAAAGTTTTCTTTAATGAATTAATAAAGAGAAATATCGAGCCATCCAAATATCAGATTGTAAATGATTTATTTGGCTCTAGGCCAGCCAGTTCAGGGTGATTAGGCAATTGCTGTAATATTTGACTTTTTCTGCCATTACTTTCTTGTCATCTCCTCAGAAAACCTCCCTGTCTATCTTTCTGCTATTTTTTTTGCTGTTCTATAGAATACATCACTGAAATGATCAGCTAGGTATAGGTGAAAGATATGCTAGAAATCTGTTTCCAAATATTTAGAAATTACATTGGTCAAAAGAGATTAATGTTGCTTGTAGAATTAATTAGCATGAAAAATGTCCATGAGCCTTGAGCTAACTTAAAACAGGATGTGCTAAACACCTTGCAGTTATTAATGGGATTTCAGTTTGACAAAATAAGATAGCTACATAGCCAAAGATCATTACTGCTTCTTATTTATCAAAGTGGCTATACAAGAATTTAAAGTTATAAGGAGAAAACGATATTTTTTAGTGTCTATGCTCACTTCTATAATACAAATAATCATTTCTCAGAAATGATTATTATCTCAGATTGGCAACCATCCCAGATTATACAAGTATCACAATTTTGTTAAGAGTTTATTAATTACTGGTTTCATTAGAGCTCCATTTCCATGCTTTCTACAACTGCTAAAATCTTGCCCACTGACTTAGTCTGAAGAGGTTAAAAAGGTATATGTTAAAAACTTCTCTGTTTAGCACACTGGACTAAAATATAATGGCATATTAGGAATAAGAGCTTTGGGAATTACGGATGGTACCCTCCTAACACTATTCCCATATTTTTAGTACTTTGGAGATAGTAAATTGACAAATTTGCTTAAGGCTCACTATCTATGAATAATGACTTTCAGTTCACATGGAAAACTTAGGCAGTGACAATTAAAATATCCTTGGGTTTCTCTCCAGGTTTTCTACTCAGCATTGTATATGACCAAGCCAAAACAGCATATAGCACACATATGGGCCAATTGAACCTAGCTAGGTGTCCAACATTTATTGCCAGTGAATCAAAGAGGTACTCTTGGATTTCTCTATAGCAGTGGTCTCCAACCTTGGCAACTTTTAAGACTTGTGAACTTCAACTCCCAGAGTTCCTCAGCCAGCTTTGCTGAGGAACCATAGGAGTTGAAGTCCACAGGTCTTAAAGCTGCCAAGGTTGGAGACCACTGCTCTATAGGATTTTTAGATTTTTCAAAAGATTTTTGTTTAGATAGATACTAGATAGATAAATAGATAGATAGATAGATAGATAGATAGATAGATAGATAGATAGATAGATGATAGATAAACTAGTTTTTTAACCTTGTGTATGTTATATTCTTTTGTAGCTTTTAAAATTATTCCTTGTGTTTTACCCTTCCTAGGCTTGTCTATGACCATAATAAAGATGTGATTTGATTACTTAAAGCAGACAAATAGTTCATTATCTACAGAAGGAGGATTTATGTAAGTGGACAGTCAAGAATGTAAGATATTCTGTATACAATATAGAATAATATAACAAATATACACATATTACCACAAGATGTAATGTAATATAATGAAATGAAACTCTGGATTTAATATGATTAAAAAAGAATTAGACAAAGTAATAGTGGATAATTCTGTAATTGTTATTATTTATTCAGCTTTATTAAGCTTCCAGATGGAGATACCACTTATTGGAGAGTTAAAATAATAAAAAATACAATTGCTCCAAGCTATACTTGTGGAATTTGCCAAAATGTGTAATAAATAGATATTTGATCTTGTTCTTCAGGGCAATAATTGCATCTCACAGTTATCCCCACCCTGGCATTTAGTAGATACTATTATTTGGATTTCAGATCCAGCTCATCTACATGGTGCCAAATTGGGTGAGGCTAACATGCAATATTTATAACAAAAGTCACAATAAAGCAAAATTAACACACATACCTTCATCTACATACATATTAATACAATATGCTTAATGACAACTACAGTATTTTCCAAGCTGACTAATAACTTTATAAAAAATAAAAGCATAATAGTCAATGAATAAAATATTAAACAATACAAGAGGAAAACCGTATATAAAATGTGTAACTTATTGCAGCATGTTACAGAGATGCTTACATTCTCAAGACTTATCTACAGAATCTAATAATTATCATGTTTGGGAGAAGAGAAATATCTTTATTGGATGCAAACCAATAACACAAGCCTCCTTGAAAAGACTGCTAATAAATAGAATACCACAACTGAAGAATCTTCTTTCTCTGTATTTCTCTACCTGAAGTTGCTCAACTTCAGCAACTGAACAATTACCTCAGGGTTATGAAAAAGACACATGGAATGAGATTGTCATTGGAATATTCTGAGTCCAAGATGTTTAGGATGTTATCAGTCGAAAGCAAAACATTGTATGTCATATTACCTGCCA